CTCCTGCACACGGACGAGGCTGGGCTGCCCTCAGTGACCCTCCTCCCCACTAGAGACTTCTGATCACTGCGGAGGAAGAGAGGTCTCTCCACAAGCCTGGGCCAGAAGTGTTCTGGCCCCACTTCATGCCACAGTGGCTTCTGACAGTGGTTGTGTTCTGTGTCTTTTTTTTTTTTTTTGTATATTGAGTTACTTAAAAAAAAACTGTACATATAGGCTGGACATGGTGGCTCATGCCTGTAATCCCAGCACTTTGGGAGGCCAAGGCGGGCGGATCACCTGAGGTCGGGAGTTCGAGACCAGCCTGACCAACATGGATAAACCCCGTCTCTACTAAAAATACAAAATTAGCCAGGCATGGTGGCACATGCCTGTAATCCCAGCTACTCGGGAAGCTGAGGCAGGAGAATCGCTTGAACCCGAGAGGCGGAGGTTGTGGTGAGCAGAGATCGTGCCATTGCACTCCAGCCTGGGCAACAAGAGTGAAACTTTGTCTCAAAACAAAAAGCTGTACATATAATTAAAACAATTTTTGACAAAGTACTTTTATAAAGCACAGAATCCGTTCCTTTCAGCCACTGATTTCAGTGTGTGCCGAAGTGTGCATGGCCTACAGGTTACAAAGGGTGCTGATGCTTTTTTTTCCTGGGGTCTGGGTTCCCACTGGTTGCCACATCAGGGTAAGGTTGCCAGTTTTAGCAAATCAAAATACAGGATGCTCAGTCAAATTTGAATTCCAGATAAACAATGAATAATCTTTGAGTATAATCATGTCCCCCCCTCCCCCGCTTTTTTTTTTTTTTTTTTTGAGACAGGGTCTAGCTTTGTCCCAGGCTGGAGTGCAGTGGCACAATCATAGCTCACTGCCACCTCAAACTCCTGGACTGAAGGGATCTTCCAGCCTCAGCCTCCTGATTAGCTGGGACTACAAGCACACACTACTGTGCCCAGCTAATTTTTCAAAATTTTTTATTTTGTAGAGACATGGGCAGGGGCGGGGTGGCCATCTTACCCAGACTGGTCTTGTGAGCTCAAGCGATCCTGCTGCATCAGCTTCCCAAAGTGTTGGGATTACAGGCATTAGCCACTGTGCCCAGCCCCCAGTTTTCAGTATAGGTATGTCCCACACAATAGTTGAAACACGTCCATACTAAAAACTCGTTCATGATCTGAAATTCAAAATTGGGTGTTCTGTATTTTATCCGACCACCCTATCCAAGATTGCAGGGGCTGTTGCAGGCCATGGGAGCTGTCTTGGGGGTTGTGGATTAGACATTGCTCTGCAGCAGACCCCTGCAGAGGAGTGAGAAAAAAGTCCCCATCTTGGCTGAGGCCTGGAAGCCCCTTCATCTATTTAGCATCCAAGTCCCCCAACCCCTGGTGGCCAACTCCTCTCTAAAATCTTTGCTGGTTTTTAGCCTTCTCACCTGGGGGGAAAGGCTTTCTCCTCTTAGTTTGCTCATCTGTGGTATGGGGATACACTAGTACCCACCCCAGAGATTGTGGTGAGGACTCAGCCAGGTGAGTGCAGAGTGAGCAGAGTGTTGGGAGGAGAGAGAGCACTGTGGTGGGAAGGCAGGGACACGTGTTCTGGTGGTTACAGGTTATAATTCTCTCCACATGAGAAGACTGCGAGGGTCACACTGACCAGGGTGAAGATGAATTTGGGCCTAAGCTTGAGCAGATTCACAAAAACGAAGTTTGGCCTATGGCTCCATTTTAAGCAGCTGCGGCCACAAGCTCCTCTGGGCCAGGAGGGAGCCGTTGCTGCGCTTGTGGTCATGGCTTCTTGGAATAACAGGACTGGGTCCTCCAGCGCTCGGTAGGGACACTGGCCGGGTGCTCACTCATAGCTCTAGGCAGAGGACCTGTCAGGCCCTGGTGGTCTGACCAGACTGCCAGATTCACCTCCCCACTAAACCAGCATCTCTGATCTGTCTTCTTCCCTCCAGGGTCCTGGCTTTCAGGCTCTGGGAGGGTGTTTGTTTTGCTTTTTTTTTTTTTCTGAGATAGTCTCGCTCTGTTGCCCAGGCTGGGGTGCGGTGGCACAATCTTGGCTTACTGCAACCTCCGCCTCTTGGGGTCAAGCAATTATCCTGCCTCAGCCTCCCAAGTAGCTGGGATTACACCATGCCTGGCTAATTTTTTTGTATTTTTAGTAGAGACAGGGTTTCACCATGTTGGCCAGGCTGGTCTCGAATTCCTGACCTCAAGTGATCTGCCCGCCTCGGCCTCCCAAAGTGCCAGGATTACAGGCGTGAGCCACCGCACCCAGCCTGTTTGGCTTGTCCTTAAAAGACAGCTTTTTGAGATGATATGAGACAAAGTATGTCAAGGGCCTGGCACCTGTTAACTGGTGGAAGCAAGTATCATGCCCTGTGGTTGCCAGGGACCTGGGCTACCATGGTCTTGACCCCCAGCAGAGCACTAAGTGAGACTCTGAGGTCTTGGCCAACTGTCTTCATAGCTACCCAGTCCTCACCCCCAGGCTGATACAGTGGATGGGAACCATTTGAAGTGAAAATATGAACATTATTTAATAACTGATCTTCTGTAATAAACCATTTGAAAATATTTTACAAGGAATCACACACACGGTATTTTACAAAGTTTCTTTTTTGTCGCTGTTGTTTTTCCGACTTGTCTGTACAAAATAGAACAACATAAAAAGGGCAGAGAAAAGGAAATGGCCCCCTAGTCCCCCAACCCAAGGTGAGGGGCTGCCAGGTCGGGTGGGTAATGAGAAGGATTAGACCCAGCTGGGGGTTAGACAGCTACCTGATGGGGATTGTTTTATCTGTTTTTCTGTTTTTTAAACTTAAAATATATTTTTCTGTATATGTTTATTTTTATATTCTCCATTGAGCACCTGACTACACTACAGTTACACGCACGCCCCTGAAGGACACAGCTGGCATCCAGGCCGGGTGCACATGGACACCCACCCTGGCACCAGCAGTGGGCATGGACCATACACACACACTGAGAAAGCGACAAGCAACATGACATTAATTAACGAAGCCATTAATTAATGCATCACCCTCCCCCCTCCTCCCAGTCCATCTGAGCCCCATCACTACATCCCCTTGCCCTCAGTTCCCCACTGGCCCCCAGGCTGGGATGCCTTTGGGGGAAATGACCAGAATGAATGGTGTGAAGAGCTGTGCCCAGGCCCCACCTCTGTGTGTGCACAGAGCGTGTGTGTGTGTGTGTTCAGCAGGGGAGGGGCAGTTTGGCCTCCTATGAGCAGGGAGCGTCTTTGTGGAAGTGGGAGGGAGATAGGGAGGGGGCACTGGCCTGAGTGTGTAAGGGCCAGATTGGGGGAAGGATGGCCCAGCCAGGAGAGACCAAGTCACCCCTGCTAAGGCAAAGGGTGATGTCTGGTGGGGGTTCCTCTGCCGAAAGGTGCAGGCAGTGGCATGTGGTCCCACTGAGGGCCTGACACTAGTGAGAAATGGTTACAATGCGCACCTGGAGAGGTGAGGGACACTTGGAGGACACTGGTGGTTAGGGGTGGGACAGAGGATTCTTCACCCCCTGCCCCAGCATTTGGCACTGTTTGACATTCAGCTTTAGAGATGGGAGGACCAGCCAGGCTGCAGCTCAGATTAGAGGCAGGTGGTAAGCAGGAGATGGAGTGTGCAGGTGCCAACCCTCCCACCAACCCCTCGCCCTGTGTAAGGCTTTGTAAGCCCCACCCCACCCCATAGTGTGTGTGTTTGTGCGTGTGCCCAGTGGGGTATGTCTGAGTCCAGTTTCCATCCTCAAGGTTCCAGGTGTATATGGGGTAGTGTCTAAACTGGTATCACTGACTATCCTGACACCCAGTGGGTTTGGGGATGTGGCTGTAGGCCTGAAAGGGGGAGGAGCCCATGGGGGCTGCCCCAGAGCCTCTCTCCTGCTAGGATTTAAGCTGGGAGGCACAGGCTTCAAACTGGCCATCTCACCTTCCTCCACTATTCTCACAGAAACCAAGTTTGGGCTTGGGTGGGGCAGAGAGGCCGGGTCAGGAGTCCAGCTGAGGCAGGGTCCCCCCGCACATGAGCCTCTAGGCAGGGCAGCAGCAGAGGCCTGGTTTTGGCACCAGTGCGTGTGGCCTCCCTGTCCCATCCCACTGGGGGGTAGCCCAGCAAGGAAGAAGGGTCTGGGGACACTTGAACAGTTCAGAGGTGAGATGTGATTTGGGTGCCAAAGACCTGCGGCATCCCGCTTTGGGACTCCCCATCCCAAGGCGCAGACCAGACTCTCAGGGCCTGGCCAGCTCAGGTCCTTCAGTGAGGGAGGGATGAGGCCCTAAGGTGGGGAGTGCAGGGCAGGAGGGTGGGAAAGGCGAAGAGGTCAGGTGGGGTGGGGGGGTGGGGTGGCGTGGTGGGGCGCTCAGAGGCGACGAGAGGCGTGGACGAGGACTTGAGGCTGCGGCCGGGGCGGCAGGCCCAGGAGGAGCAGCAGCTGCAGGGAGACCAGGACGCCCAGCGACGGCGGGAAGGAGGCCCCGCGGCCACAGTCTGAGGTATCTTCCTGCGGGGAGAGACAAGGAGCTGGTCGGCCTGGGCGCGCGCAAGGCCGAGGGACTTCGGGTCCACCGCCCCCTCTCCTCACCGTCGCGTTGTAGTCGAAGCAGATGTGCGGGCCTCTCCGGTATCGCGGTCTCTGCACTAGCTCACACTGCTCCGGGCCGTCCGCTGGGCATGGGTGGGGAGTCAAGGAGGCGGCGGCGGCGGCAGGGAGAGGGCGCGCGGGGCATAAGGGGAGAGGGCGGCGGGGAGGGCGGGGGCAGGATACAGTGCGTCTCCTTCTGCAGCAGCCGGCCAGCCTCGCACTGGCTGCACAGCGGCTTCTCGGCCACCACGAAGAGAAGGTTGGTGTTGGTCAGTCTCTGCGCGTGAAACAGTCTGCGGGCAGCCCGGAAAGTCGGGCGTTGAGCTTGCCCCGCCACTGACCCGCCCCCGTACTACGGCCCCGCTCCTTCCATCCTCCCGAGCGTCTCGCCCCATTCACAGGCTCCGCCCCTGGCCTCTGGTCCCGCCCCACTGCCGCACCTGGAGCAGTTTCCGCAGTCGATGATGGCGTTGTAGGAGGCGTTTACCGAGCCGAAGTAGTACTGGGTCTGTTTCATGACGCAGCTGCTCTCGCGCGTCTCGGGGCTCCCCTCGGCCTCCGCGGGGTCTGCGAGGGCCCAGAGCGCCTCAGCTCCGCCCACAGACCCGGGCAAGGTCTCCGTCCTCCCTCAGTCGTAGGCCCCACCCTCCCCTTGGAGTCGTCTTTGCTCAGACTGGGGACCCGGACTTGAGGAGGCGCCTCCAAAGCCCTACCTACCTGCTTGGAACCAACTGTGGTAGATGAGGCCGTAGAGAAGCTGCTGGAACAGGGACCTGCAGGGCACGGAGAGGCGAGTGCAGGTGGTCAGCAGAGAACGATGCCGTGCCCTACTTCTCTTCTGAGCCCTACTGACCAGGGAGCACTTCTCTACCCACCTCCCGCTCAGGACTCACCAGGCGGCAGCAGAGGTCCACCAGGCCAGGTTAAGGAAGTCTGCAACGGTGGGCTGCAGTGGAGAGAGGGTCGTGGACTGCCACTGCTGCCCCTCGCCCTAGGTCACCCCCAGCTCTATCAAATGTCAGAGGTAGGGGGTCATCTGTGGGCAGGTCTCCCAGTCCCCCCCATCTCCAGTCCAGGCATCTCTGGGGACTCACCACAAAGACACCCCGGGGTGCAGCACCCAGGTTGCCAGGGGGCTGAGGGGCACAGGCTGCCTGATAGTCATAGGACTCCTTGCGGGTGTAGAAGGAGTTATTGTAGAGTGCCAGCATCAGGTTGGCATCCACCTCACTGAAGAACCTGCCCACCTGAGAATGCCAGGAGAAAGCCATGGTCACAGGGCTAGCAGTGCTACACCCCTAGAAGGCTCAAATCCCTACTCTCTTCTTCCACTCTGTTCCTGATCCTCACCTGGTCCCACTGATGGTTCTGATTGGACAGCACCAGGAATCCTCCATCATCAATGAGGACACAGAGTAAGTCCTAAGAGGTAGGGAATGGGGAGGAAAATGGAGAGGGGCTGGGCCCCAGACCTTCCACCCCAGGCAGTCCAGTGGTTCAGAGTTGGGGGCATCACTCCCCAGTCCTGGAAAGGCTGTGAAGTCAGGGTGGGGATGTTGAGACCCACAGGCCAAGGGATGTGCTGGGAGTCGCAGCTGGGACTAGGAAGTCTGAAAGTGGGATAAGCTAGGGTCCAGGGTAGGTTCAGGGCATACACACCTCATTGTTAACCTCGCAGTCCATCTCACAGTGGCTGTTGGGGCCGCACTGCTAGGCAGAGAGTGAGGACCGTAAGCCACCCACCAGTTTTCCTCCCTCCCATCACCTGTCATACATCCTGTTCCCCAGGCCATCTGCAGCTGCCCCTGCCTCCGTGTAGGTGTTGGAGCCAGAGCGGAGGGTTGGTAGGAGTTCCAGGGGACTCCAGGAAGGGCACTGCTGGGTTACTGCTCCCGCCCCTGCCCAAATACCTGCTGAGGCTGGTCTTGGTGGGTACGGTTGCTGGCTAGCACCTTGAACTTCTCAGCCCAAGCTTCTAGGTCCAGCTTGACGCCCACCACTTTGGGGGAGAGCAAGGGACCATCAGTGCTACCTGCCCAGGCAGTACCCTGTCCATTGCCTGTTTCCCCGCCTCTGTCCCAAGCATTCACCTGCTGGCCTCAGTGTGCGCCTGCCTAGGCTGAGCTCCACAGCTGTGCTGACGAGGATGCCCACGGTGTCATTCTCCAGCTCCAGAGGCCTCAACAGGGCTGGGGGTTGGGTGGGGAAGTCAGGAGTGGGGTCTGGCAGCCACACTGACCACTCTATGCTGGGTCCTACAAACCCAGGAGTCCAATCCAGGGATGACTCCAGCCCAAGCACCCAGCACTCAGGACAGTGTTTGGCGCAGTCTATCCCTCTCCTCACGTCTGCCCTGCCCTCAGGCAGCCTTATGTTGCAGAGGGGCCTCAGAGAGCAGAGCCCAGTTCTCTGAGCAGATAGGGAAGCTGAGGCTCCCTGCCTGCTACTGGGCACACTGGGGGGACACTCACCATCCTGGTGTGGGGGCTTGAAGACATAACCGTGGTTATCCAGGCTGCGGCGGTAGAAGCTGGCATTGAAGGGCTCAGGGTTCTCTGTCCAGTCCTCAGCTGCCCTGGAGCACCCAAGAGGCAGATTGGTAGGTAAGGGGTCGCTTGTCGGGGACAGTGGTCTCCACAGGTGCAAGGAGGCCTCCGGGTAGAACAGATGCAGGTTCCCTGGCAGGGGCAGGGTTTGGGTAGTGGGATAGGTCACTTACTTGTTGGGGAAGACTCGGGTGATACCACCGTCTGTGGCAGCGAACACGGCCAGTAGGCTGTACCTGGGGGTGGCAGGAGGGTGGGGTCACAGGCCTGCCTTCTGCTGGGCAGGGTCAGGGCCTCCGGGCCCATCCCAGCCTTCTGCCCCCACAGGCTGGGTGATGCCTACGTGTTGAGATCCTGGTCCCTCCACACACGCTCTACCAGCTGCTGCGTGATGCCCGTGTCCAAGATCAGGTTGTGCAGAAGAAAGTTGTTGCCTGGAACAGGAGGGGAGGGCTGGGGGTGGGGGTGTCTTCTTGCAGCTCCCTGTCCACTCTCGCCCCCACCCTCAAGGCTCCACCAGGAGCCTCCTCCATGACCTGGCCCAGGCCCAGCCCTTAGCTTGTGCCTGCTTATTTCCACACCTCCCCGGCCTCTGGGTTCCTCTGGGCTGGCCCCATGCTGCCTGGGCACTGCCCAGAGCCAGCTGCTCTGCCAGACACTCACACTGCTTGGAGTCTGGAGTCACTTTCTCCATGAGCTCAATAAAGTTTTTCAGGAACTCAGTGTTGTTGTCTGAAGCATTCAGGTCCTTGCAGTACTCTCTAGGGGTGGGGAGGGGCAAGAAGAGTGGACTTACGGGGCTGGACAGGGCAATGGGGTCAAGGCTTCCCAACAGGCCCACCTGGCCATTCACTGAGAAGCCCAGGCCTCAGGGAGGGGCACGTGGGTTCTTCCTGGCTGCAGCTGCTACATGCCTGGCAGGCTGCTGGGGTCTGAGTCGGGGCAGAGCTGACACAAGAATGAGGGTCGGCCGGGCGCGGTGGCTCAAGTCTGTAATCCCACCACTTTGGGAGGCCGAGACGGGTGGATCACGAGGTCAGGAGATTGAGACCAGCCTGGCTAACACGGTGAAACCTTGTCTCTACTAAAAAAATACAAAAAACTAGTGGGGCGAGGTGGCGGGCGCCTGTAGTCCCAGCTACTCGGGAGGCTGAGGCAGGAGAATGGCGTGAACCTGGGAGGCGGAGCTTGCAGTGAGCCG